TTGTGATAAGAGTTGTATGAGCCCCCACCCCAATAAAATGATTAAAAAAACCTTAAAAACTCCCTGCCATCCAACTCATAGCGACCCTATAGAACAGGGTTCAACTGTCCTTGCAAGTTTCCAAGACTGGAACACGTTAGGGGAGTAGAAAACCCCATCTTCCTCCTGCAGAGCAGTGGGTGGTTTCAAGCTGCTGACCTTGTGGGTCGCAGCCCAATGCAGAACCACCATGCCACCAGGGATCCCAGAGCAAACTGTTCGTGCCACCCAGGGGCCTCATTTTAATACAAAAGACCACAAGTGCTATTTCATCTTTCTATCTGGTACAGGTAAAGCTGTAGAGATTTCCAATGGTAAACCAGATTATAACTCTGAGAAGAAAGATATGAATCCCCTATAGGAACAATTGAAAAAACTTCTTAATGTTTAATAAGAATGTATGCACACCTACTACTTAGCAACTATCTTGTTATCTAATATATGCAGTTACATATTATAAATTGCTATCTAATATATGCATTTACAGATTGTAACTGTAAAACATCTGTGTGTGTTTCACATTAATGACATGAGTCTGAGGTGCAGGGTAACATCTATGAACATAACAGCTTTGTGTCAACAAGCCTGGGTCATGATTCTCAGTGCTTTGGCACTTGTGCAGTGATGTAATTTGTTAGTTATGTAATGATATAATCCTACTCCATTAAAAAAAATCATTTCATTGGAGGCTTTTACAGCCCTTATCAAAATCCGTACATCCATACATCATGTCAAGCACATTTGTACATATGCTACCATCATCATTTTCAAAACATTTTCTTTCTACTTGAGCCCTTGATATCAGCTCCTCTTCTCCCCACCCGCTTCCCTCATGAATCCTTCAATAATTTATAAATGATTATTTTTCACTCACCTTTCTGTTGTTCATACCCCCCTGGGGTGAGGTTATATGTTGATCATTGTGATTGGTTCCCCCTTTCTCCCCCCATCTTTCTCTTACCCTCCTGGTATTGCTACTCTCATAATTGGTCCTAAGG